TCCCCCCTGCTTGGTGTGTGTGGTTTTTTTTGTTTTTTTTTTTTTTTTTCCTAATATCCTACCTAAACCTCCCTTACTGCAACTTGAAACCATGGCTCCTTGTTCTTTCATTTCTTACCACTGAGAACTGTCTAGCTCCATCCTCTTTGGAACCATTCTTTCAGGTAGTTGAAGGCTGCTATTAAATCCCCTCTGTCTTTTCTCTAGAGTAAATAAGCAGAGTTCTCTCAGCCTCTCCTCACTAGTTGTGTGCCCCAGCCCCTGAACCATTTTTGTTGCCCTCCACTGGACTCTCTCTAACTTGTCCACATCCTTTCTCTAGTGAGGTCCCAAAACTGGACATAGTACTCCAGATGTGGCCTCACCAGTGCAGAATAGAGTAGAATAATTACTTCTCTCTGTCTGCTTGCAGTGCTCCTACTAATGCTGCCCAGTATGCTGTTCACCTTCTTGGGTGGGTTGGTAGACTGCTGACTCATCCATTCTATTGTCCACTGTAACCCCCAGGCCACCTTCTGCAGAGCTGCTGTCTAGCCAGTTAGTTTCCAGGCTGTAGCGATGCGTGCGATTCTTTTGTCCTAACTACAGGACTTTGCACTCATCCTTGTAGAACCCATGAGCTTGGTGTCATCTGTGAATTTGCTGAGGGTGAAATCCATCCCATCTTCCAAATAGTTAGTTAGTTAGTTAATGAAGATATTGAACAAAACCAGTTCCGAGTCTGACCCTGGGGACACTCCAGTTGGCAGCCAGTATCAATTGGACATTGACCCATTGATTACTACCCATTAAGCCTGACAATCCAGCCAGCTTTCTATCCACCTTACAGTCCATTCATCCAACCCATACTTTCTCAACTTGCTTGAAAGAATGCTGTGGGAAATGCTGTTGAAAGCCTTGCTAAAGTCAAGGTATTTTATGTCCACTGCTTTTGCTGCATCCACCGAGCCAGTTACCTCATAATAGAAGGCAATCAGGTTGGTCAGGCATGTATGGGATTGCTATGTGTTGTCAAACCAGCTGCTTCAGCTGAGGGATGGCTACTTTTTAATAGGGGCTGTAATTCCCTGAATCTTCCTTCCCTTTCTTAAAAATGGGTGCTATATTTATCCTTTTTCAATTGTCTGGGACCTCCCGTGATCACCCCCAAGTTTTGAAAGATTATGGCCAGCTGCTCTGCAATGACATCGCCAACTCCCTCAGCACCCTCAAACGCCTTGCATCTGGCCCCACAGACTTGTACATGTCCAGCTTTTCTAAATAGTCTCTAACCTGTTCTTTCGCTACTGAGGGCTGCTCACCTTCTCCCCAAACTGTTTTGCCTGGTGCAGTAATCTAGGAGTTGACCTTGTCTGTGAAGACCAAGGTGAAAAAGGCACTGATTACTACAGCCTTTTCCTCATTATCTGCCACTAGGTTGCCTTCCCCATTCAGTGAGAGACCCACATTTTCCCTGACCTTCCTCTTGTTGTTAACGTACTTGTGGAAACCTTTCTTATTACCCTTTTTATGCCCCTTGCTAGCTGCAACTCCAATTGTGCTTTGGCCTTCCTGACTTCATCCCTGAATGCCTGAGCAATATTCTTATACTCTTCCCAAGTTGTTTGTCCAAGCTTCCACTTCTTATAAGCTTCCTTTTCTGTGTTTAAGTTTTAAGAAGAGTTCTCTATTAAGCCAAGCTGGTCACTTGCCACATTTGCTATTCTTCCTACACTTCAGGATGGCTTGCTCCTGTGCTCTCTCTCAGTAAGGTTACTTTAAAATGCAACCAGTTTTCCTGGAGTCCTTTTTTTCCCCCTTAGACTGGCCTCCCAGTTGTCTGAGGGAGTCAGTCTGCACATAAGCTTGTGTAGTGCTGTCTGGCTGTTTTCCATTGAAACATTGCACTGCACTGCATAGTTGACTTGTTAAAGCTGTGTATCTGTAATGGTTGCTAACACTGCTAATATGTTGGGATTTTGGAGGTGGGGGGACAGAATTCTATTGAATCCCACTCTTTCTAAAAACAAAAATCTGCTTCTGCAAGTTTTTAACATTGCTTTGGTATTGGTACAAATCTTCAGATGTTCACTGACCTTCCCCCTTATGTCTAGTGCAGTTGAATTCCATAGTACTTGTGTTGACTCTAGTGTCTAGGAGCATCGCAGAAGCAATTTGCAGGGCTAGCATAGAAAATATCTGCTTGCTGTGTCAAAGTCAAAGCCCGATGGGATTTTTTTGAGGGGTTACCCTTTTTGATGGCTTTACTGTGGTGCCTAGCCCTTATCACTGGTGTCTCACAACCCAGGCATAACTTTCTGAAATGTCAGCAACTGCTTGTGGTTTGCCCTTGCACTCTTCTGCAGGCAACATGAGCTAGAAAATGTCAAGCAGTTACAAGAAGCAGCTACTGGACAAGTAGACACCCTTAGCTTCCAACTGCAAGAAGCTAGAAAATGGGTGGAAGATTCCTGCGAACAGGTAGGGGAGCGACTGATGGGATGTTCTATGCCCCAGAAAGCAGTGCCTGCTACATTCTCGGCTAGCAGAAAGGAAATTGTATTATCAGCATGAACTGCCTCATTGCAAAACTGTCACTGGTGTGGAGGAAGTAAAAGCAGAGGGGGTGGTGTCAACAGTTTGCTGATGAAAGAGGCAACTTTGCATATTTTGTGGTGGCTTAAAAAAACGACCAAAAATAGCTTCCATACACAGTCCTCATAAATGTAAAAATGCAGAAGTTCAGTAGGAGCCTAACACTTCCTGAGAGAACAGATGCATTTCAGTTTTCATTTTCATGATCTGTAGAGACTTATGTCACCTATAAGTTTCATTTTAAAAAATTTAAAATCTATTCTGGGCTCAGGCTAAGGATCGAGATGAGGCCCTCTACTCTGCCTGTGAAGAAGCCAAATCTTTGAAATGTGAATTGGAGGAAGCCATTTCTGAGCAGAAAAATCTCCAGGCTATGAATACATCTTTAATGAGCACTTGCCAGATGCTTCAGGAAAAAATCAAGGAGCAGAAAAGTAAGTACTTGAATGACACATGTATGTCACTATTCACTTCAGTGCTAGCTAGTTTGCTGCAGTTGAGACCAGGGAGGAGTCAAGTGAGATCACAGTACAGATGGTGAACTTTTGTGTTGCTGTGCTCTGGGAGAGCCCTGTAGCCATGCCAGAATGTGCAGTTCCCCAGATAAAACTTCAGCTAAGCAGGTTCTTAGACTGGTTAGTCATTCAGACAAACCTCTAAGGAAAATTCTAGGGTACCATGGCACTGGGTTACTTGACTGCTGTCACTTCCCTCGAGTCGGTGCTGAGTATTAAACAGTAATTTAACTGAAATACTGGTCTTCATGTCTAGATAGCCCCTACCTTCATTTTGGGTGAGTTTTAAACTCCTTGTCCCGTTTCACACAGATGTTGTATTGTGGATCGCTTTCCTTCATTCTTCTTGCTGTATGGGATTGTCGTGTGCTGTCAAACCAGCTGCTCCAGCCGAGGGGTGGCTACTTTTTTAAATAAAAGCCCTCCTGAACCGACTATATAGATTTCCTTAGTATTCATTTGGCATTTACTTCATGTAAAAAGCTTTTTGGGTATCGTGTTTAAAGTGGTCGGACCTGTCAATTCCAGTTGATGTGCACTTGTAGAGAGGGCATATTTGACTACACTGGCTTCAGAGAAGTTATGCAGGCTTATACCAGTGGAGAATACAGCCCCGGGTGTTTCCCCGTGGTAGCATGTATTAAAATTTGCCATAAAGGGAACCTGAGGGAAGATTGCATTCTAAATTGCGGAGTTAGAGTATTCTGGTATCAAAGCTTCCTTCTGAAAAGATTACGCCACTGAGGCAGTGGCGTGCTCTGAAAGCAAAGTGGAGAGGTGGTGCCTCAACACTATGCACCAGGATGATGGACTATCTGAGGATGTTTCTGCAGGCATACTTGCTGCAAGCTTGGAATGGTAATGAATACCCCAAGTATGTATGCTGCTTTTTTTTTCAGGTTTCTGTTTGTTTTTTTTCTTTTTTCTTTTCTTTTCTTTTCTTTTTGTTTTTTTTTTTACCCTCCTAATTGTGGTCTTAGCTGCATGGAAGCGGCATATCTGTGGAAATATTTCCTTTCCCTTGTACTTCTGCTAGACCTTTTTGTAATACCTGAGAACAGAGTATTCTTCCTGGTAATGAAGGGATAAAGCTACAGCTGACAAATTAAGCTAGCAAAGATGTACCAATTAAAGCAGTTAAGGTGATTTGGGAAATCTTTTGAGGTGAGATGTTCACTCTGAAAAGCCAATTACCGTGTGTGTGTGTGTGTGTCCATAATGTCACTAAGAAGCAAGTGTAGAAAAGGCAGGCAGCGTTCTTTGGGTAGATGTGATATCTTTTTTTAGACCAACTGAATAGTTGGAAAAACACTCCTAGCAAGCTTTTGGGCACTATTGCCCTTCTTCAGGCTTAGGGAGTCTCTGCTGATCTGAGACTCCAGAAAAAAGGTGCCACTTTCTGTTGACTCCTGTGTGGTCAGCAGTTCTGCTGCTGCTTCAGACCAGAATCTGCCACCAGCTCCTGCTGTGCATTACCCCTGCAAACAAAGCCACTGATGGCAGCAGTGTTAGGAGTATTGTGCCAGACTCCACAGATCTGTTTGCTGAAGTAGGGGCAACTCGATGCAAGTGAGATATCCAAAATTGAATATGTACATAGACTTTGGTTTATTATTCTTAAAATAAAGTAAGTGTGTGTGTGTGTGTGTGTGTGTGTGTGTGTGCGCGCGCACACACACACACACACACACACACACACGAACCAATGATGATTTTTGAGGTCTGGATCCTGCTCTGGCTTGTGCACCCTCAGTGGAATCATTAGCAGTGCAGTGTGGTAGCTTTTTATTTCTGGAATCATACTGGTGGTGAGGCACAAACCAAAATTAATTTACTCTTCTTTATATTGCAGCTGAAGGATGACTGCTTGGTATTGTACAGTCTGGCCATGCTCTGCTCAGTCAGTGGTCTAGAAGTGTTCTTCAAAGTCAGTGGTCTTAGACTGATTGGTCTAAGTTGGTCTGGTTGGTTTACTACTATTTCCTAGTAAATAGAACTAGGAAAACCTAAACAAATTTTGAAATTGGAAGTGCATGCATGTCTCCAAAAAGGATTCCTTTATTGCATGTGCTGTTAAAATTCAACACAGCTAAAGAATACATGTCTGTTTTTATCTCTTTCTTTGCTCTTATTCTTTTTTAAAAAAATGTAAGGAATTTTACAATGTCTCCTGCATAATGGAATAAGCACTTGAAAAATCTTGCCTCAATTTTTAAAAAAGAAATGCAGATATAAATAGCAATGATGAACCTGGCTATTCCCCTGGTGGGCCAAAACAAGATTTGAAAGGATCAGAGTACAACTTAGCTTTTGGTAGCTTGCAGCCTGACATGTAAATGTCTCTTCATAGCAACTGTTAACACTCTGCGAGAGATGCTGTTTGAAAGGCAGCTCTGTGGATTGCTACATCAGGTATGAAGTCTATTTCAGCTGGTGGGAGAAGGCTGAGTCTTATGGCACAATGGACAGTGGTGAATTAGTATCCAGTTCTTCCCAGTTTCAGACAAATTGCAGTCTTGGAACTATCTTATAATGGCTGTCAACTAGGCCTGTACAAAGCAGCAAGCATTTGCTTTGGATTTTGATTTGGCCAATTTTGGAGAGACGGTGGTTTAATTCAATTTGGCTGCATAAGAGCTGAAGATTCAGTGACGCTTCAGAGAGTCGGGCCTAGACTAAAGAGGCAGCAGTCCTCACCATGCTGTACACAGCTGCCTCCAGCTGGTACATCTGTTTGTTGGGGTTGGGGGAAGGAGGGAATGGGGCTGGGACAAGCTGCCCAGCTGGGGTGGTGGGGTGCAGGATGCTGGTACAGCAGCCCTGGGAGTGGGGGCTATGCCCTGCTGCCACTTTTTCCCAGCTGGGGATGGGTGTGGGTGTGGGTGTGGCAATGCAGGCACAGCTTGCTCCAGGTGGAAGACAAGTGGTAGCAGGGCATAGCCCCTGCTTCCAGGGCTGCAGCACCTGCATCCTGTGTATCCTGTTCCTTGCCACCCGCCCAGCTAGGCAAGCAGCATCAGTGTCTGCATTCCATGCCCCGGCTGGGCAAGCAGCAGGCTATGCGCTGCTTCCACTTGCCTCCTTCTGCCCAGAGCAAGCTGCGCCTGCATCGTGCGCCCCCGCCCCACCTCTGGCTGGGCAAGCGGCAGCAGGGCATAGGCCCCACTCCCAGCACTTCTGCACCTGCACCCCACACCCTCCCACCCTGGCTGTGAGAGGCAGTAGGGCATAGCCCCTGCTCTGTGGTGGCAGCACCCACGCCCGCACACCCCCCCCGACCCCTCTGCTCTAGCTGGGCAAGTGGTGGGCTCTACCTTGCCACCATGCGCCCAGGTGGGGCAGGGGAACACAGGATATGAGCATGGCAGCACTGGGAGTGGGGGCTATGCCGTGCTGCTGCTTGCCCAGCTGGGGAAGGTGGCGGGGCACAATGCAGGCACAGCTCACTCTGAGCAGAAGGGGGCAAGCAGCAGCCGGGCATAGCCCCTGCTCCCAGCACTGCCACGCCAGAGTCCTGTGGGCCCTCTCTGCCCTGGCTGGGCAGCTTGTCGGCCCCAATCCCTCCCATGCTGTGGGGGCATTGATTTGCCTCCTTCCCTCCACCCACCACAACAGACTTACCAGCTGGAGGCAGCTATGTCCAGTCTGGTGAGGACTTCTGCCAGCTTAGTCTATGGTCAAATCTTTTCCAAATTGATTTGGAGGCTTCTGATTCAATTCTGACCTTTTTTAATGCATCTCCTGATTCAATTCTGTTCCAGAGATTCGGCCACCGAATTGGGCCAATCTCCTCTGAATCAAATCGGCTACCAAAGCTTCACACAATCCTACCATTAACCTCTTCCCCCCTCCCCACCCTCTCCTGCTGATACTATATGTATTGGCTGAAGTGAACTGTATATGCAGATAAACTTGTATGTCACTGATATCCCTCCAAGCCCCTTAAGCTTGAGCTTCACTGTCTGTCCGATTCAGCACTGAGCATGTTGGCAGCACTTGTGGTAAACAACCAGGCTGGTCATGTGTCTTTTAACAGGGAGCTTTATCTCCCTCGTTTTTATAAAACTGCACTAAAACTAATCGATGCATGTCTTCGCTGTCCTGCAGACGGTTTTGAGAGCGAGATGGCCGAGCTGGGAGTGAGTACAGAAAAGAGCCGTTAGGGTGTGGGATAATAGGAAAGATGTATTGCTTCCTCTTCATAGTCACCATCCAGCTGTAGTGTGGGATAATGTGTAATATCTCTTCCTTTTGTGGCAACTCTGTTAAATGGGAATAAAGAAGGACAGTGTTTCCTGTGCCTACTACAGAAGGCAAGCATAGTTGATTTATTTAATAAAATTGGGCAGGTTTTATGGGTGATGCCACAAGTTTTTAAAATTTTTCTTTTCTAAGTCTAGAATTAAGAATTTAAAATTTACACAAATTTGAGAGGGATGGCCATTTAGTTGAACTCGGTATCTGAATGAACGCTTCAGAACAAACCTAGCAATGCTACATAATGAGGTGATGAAACACTTCAATTTTGAGAAACAGAATCCATTCCTTTGTAAATGAAAAGCTGTTGAAATTGAAACATTAGATCTTCAACAAACTGACTCTTTGGAATAGCAAGACTTAACCAGGTCTTTCAGTCTCCAATTTTTCTTTTGGCTTGGCTTACCTGTAGAGAAAATTCACAAAATAGCTGTTATTTTTAATGCCACAAGTCTTCTGACACGTGCATAAGTTTGATGTCAGAAGTAACTCCACTTAAAAAGAAGAGAGGGTACACATGAATAAAATTTTACTTCAGCGTAACAGTTTGCAGGACGAGGCCTGCAGTTTAATCAAAGGAACCAGATTAATTTGACTATCCTATAAGCCTTCCTACTTAAGTTTTAGTAAAGGTAAATGTCGGTTTGGTAGTTTGAAGCATAAGAATGTCTTCAGTGAAAAGAGAAGTTTTTAGCCACCGGCAAGTAATTTTTACAAGCTGGATCTGGGTCTACTCTTCTCTTTAAAGTCATTGTTCCAAATTTATCTTTGCGTTACACCAGAGTTTTAGAGATGAGGAGTCTGACCAGAGTGCACTGTCTACATCAAATATAAAACAAGAGACAGTAAAGCAGAAGGTAAGCATATTATAATTTTTTTTACCACTATTGTCTAGTATTAATAACTTTTTCTCTTGCATCTTGGAGGAGAGATGCGCTGACATCTACCAGAACCTGCTTCCTTAAACTAGCTTTACATCCCTTCCACCCCTCACATCCCACAGCCCCCTCATCAGCTCACACTGATGAGGATCTCTGGATCAAACAACACAAATGATAACATCCAGTACTCATTTGCCTGCTTCCACCAAAGTCATACACACCATTACCTGCTTACAATATCCCTCTGCCATCTATATTGGCCAAATAGGGTGATCTCCATGTAAAGAATGAATAGATACAGATTCCAGAAATGTACGGAGGCTTCTGGGAGGACACTGTAACCTCCCTAGGCATTCATTCCATCAGTGACCTCAGAGTAGCTCTCCTTAAACAAAAAGGAAAAACGAACAAATGGACACAAGCTCTTTTTAAAAACCACAATATTGCAAAACCAATAAATCATCCACAGACTGTGTGGTGTTTTCTTAACCATGGTTTCAACAGGGTCTGTAGATTCTTATCCCATTACCTGGGGTAGCTGTTAACCTTAGTGGTCCTCAAGTTGAGGAACATTGAGTGTTCTTTAGATCTCTCCCCTGGTAGTTTTCCCTTTCCCTCTTATTTAAAACTCTATATTTCTGCCAGTCCATTTATAGCATCTGAAGTAGGTTCTAAGGTGTCACTCTGCTCTACCTCCTGTCTAACTTCAGACTAATGTGGGGAACCACCTCTCAACTTTACGTCTTTTTTTCTTTAAAAAAAAAAAAAAAGGGGGGGGGGGCCATAGTAGCATGCATACATACATCACCTCTATCCTCAGGACATTAAAGGAATATGTTTTATTACCTATGTGTCACCTTTTTGTTTTTACATCTTGCTTCATGTTGTGCTTCTGAAAATGTTATGATCCAGGCCACTTTAGTAACCTCTGTGCAAAATTTTGCAAACTAACTTTTTTTTTTTTTTTTTAATGAATGCACCTCATTCAATGATAGAAACCTGAAAATGGGACTGTACTTAAGCAAATCAAGGTTTCCTCCAGTTACTCTTGAACAGCGTTTTTTGTTTGTTTGGGTTTTTTTTGGTGGGGGGGAGGATTCTTCAATGATGTATTCACTCAGAATTAACCTTCCTTCCCTGAAAAGCCCCCCAAAGTCAAATGTGGGTGAAGGCTACTGCTACAGAAGTTCTTTCTTTCCAATACTGACTATCCAGTTAGTCTCCAAATAAAGCCTTTTACTGCTGAACAAATTAGCATATACGCTATGGGGAAATCTAGGACCTGAGTGGAGCCTTTTTTCTTACTTGCTTTGTGGTTAGTGAAGGAGCAGTTGCAGAAGTGGCCAAACCAGGATTTAAAAAAACAACAACAAAGAAACAAAAAAAAACCCCACAACAAATAAACATTCTTCAAATGGGTGTCCTCTGTGCCATTCTAATGAGATTCCACCTCTTCAACTCTGTTCCTTCTCTTTCTTTCTCTCATTACCTCAGCTGCACATGCACGGATTCGCAACCACTTCTTCCCTGCCTTTGTCCCGAACTTGTTCTCCACCTTTACTCCTGCTTTAAAGTAGACCTAATATGGTTATTGCATATTTGTTAACTGCATACTCCATCCTCTCCCTACCCCCACATACTTCTATTCTATCTTTCCAGTTTATTTATGTGTCTGGCTCTTATTGATGGAGATGGCTCTAATTAGTGACTCTACATATTTTTACTGCCTCACATAATGGGGATCTGTTCTTTTATTGGGTCTGTGTGTATGTGCACGCACACATGGTTTTAGAAGAGACCAGGTCTAACATGCAGTGTTTTCCCTTCAATTAGCAACACTGCTGCTCCCAAAGACAAGATCAGCGCCTGGGAGTTTCCTTTGTACCTTTGTCAGGACATGAGTGCGGGTGGTACACACCTCTACTAGGTAAGGTCTACCAATTAGTTTCCCACTTGCCTTTTTTTTTCCCTGCAAATTTAAAGAATTAGTTGTCAGGTAGCCCACTGTTGAACTAAATCTAATATGGCAGGCTGCTAAGTGTGGGATGTACTATATGCACATGTACTTCTTAGTATACATCTGGCATGGCATTCCATGGGGACAGTTGCCACTGGCTTTATTTTGTGGATAACTTGTCAATTAAGCTGAGATGTTTGCTAGGTGGGATCCATCAGGCTTTTGCCACAAAGAACAGCTGTGTTCTTCATGATCTAGCTTCAGTGGTTGAATGGCAGTATGAAAGTTTTATGTTTTTAGTCTATATACTACTGATCCTAAAAATAGTTTAGCCACCTTCATTTAATCTAAATTTCAGCCTTTGCTCTTAAGACTGTCATGTTATCATACACATGTGGACTCAACTGTAGTCTTCCACCTAAGCACTAGGTTACCTTTCATGTCCCAGTATGCTACTTCGTGAAACACTTCCCAGTTGCTGCATCATTCTGCAATTTTTGTAATCTTTGATTCCCAACTGGTGGCTGAGCTGAGGGGCTGCTCTGAATCAAGCTTCTATTTCTACTCATGTGACACTCTCATATATTGCATACTGCAGCCTTGTCTCCCTCCTCCATGACAACGCTCCAAGTCTAATTGCTGTCAAATATTAAAGTCATGTTGAGTAGTTTGGCTGCCAGCTGTGCCATAAGGAAACTGAGCTGTGCCAGTCCCTTAAACTAAGATGGGCATTGATATCTTTTGAACTGTTGGTCATACTCCCCTCAAGTGGGTTCTGCTAATAATAATAATAATAATATCCTTCCACCTGTAGTCTATTATATTTCTCTGGAGTTTTCTGAATCTTCTTGCTAATAGTCTCTAACAGTAGCAAGTGAATTTAAGTAGATGTGCTTTCCAGAATATAACCAAAATGGTACAGATTTAGGATTATTTTAGTTTCTAGTAGAATAGTCCTTGCACAAACAGACTATTACCATACAGGCAGTGTCCAGAGGATGGTATATTTAGTGAAACATCTAAATATCTCCTTGCAATGCACTGGAAGAAATAAAGAGGTATATGTATAGCTGATTACCTGAATTTTGTAGTTGAATCCAAGCCTATTCTGTTTACAGTGCCCCTTTGTTTACAAGCTGTTAGAATACTTTGCTAATGTGGTATGACCTGAGATGGTAGCATGCATACCAAGTAGTAATGTCTAATGAAGTAATGATATTATCCATGTTATCTTCAATTTTTTTTTTATTTAACTTTTATTAATATGCATGATAAGAAGAACATAGGAGGGGGTTCTGCATGGTGTTTTGTTTTTTGTTTGTTTTTAAATGTGGCTTTTTGACTCTGACTTATGGTTTTGGAGGTGGGAGTGGAGGGGAAGAGAATGGGCAGGGCGGGAAGGATAACTAGACCTGAACACGTTAATTTCTTTTATTTTATGGCCAGGATGACTTGTAGCACTTGTCATAATTATGCTTTGCATTAAGCACTTTCTGTAAATCTTGTCTCTATTTGTGTTCCTCCTTTTAGTTCTCTAGAAGGGGCACTGATCAAGAAGACTACCTATTCTGCACATATGAACACTAGCAGTGTTGTGGGGTTTTTCTGTCTGTTTGCTTTTCTTTAAACAGACACCTCTCGTATCAAGTCTGAATATCTTTTTTAACAGATGCTCTGACGCTGGACACGCTACAGTTGAATCCAAGAGTACACACAAACCGTGATTCCACATGTACTGCAGCCAGACCTCTGCCTGCATTTGAACAGCAGGATCTGATAAATGGGTCCATCTTGGATATGACACCTGCATCCCTCCAGTAAGATGGTAAAACCAGTTCTTCTGGTGGGGGGGGAAAATAAAGAGGTGATGTATAGACTCCTGAAGAGTCCACAGAAGGTGCAAGTATAGCAAGGTGGTGATTATTTTCATGTCAGCTGAGGTACAGGGTAAGCGTTGTCCAACAGAAAGCCTGTAGCCAGATTCCGAACTGAAATCCTGGTCTCCTGAGCTCAAAGTGCCCTGTCCATGAGAGCAACCTTTGCTTTAAGCTATCTCAAAAAGCCTTGCAGTAACACCAGAAATGCTTTGGTTTGACATGCAACAATTCCCTTACCCCTTATGGTTCTCTAGTGTTTCTGTTTTAAGTAATGTCCACAAATAAAAGTAAGGGTTAGATGTTACTGAAGAAGTATAAGCTGACAAGCAGCTTTCTCATAGTTTTTGAGACCCAATGATTACTATCTATATGCTACATTAATGTTCCAGTTAGATTATTTCACTTTAGTGATGCTTCTGTTTTTTTGTGACTGGGGAATTGGGTACTGTCCCTGTAACAGCACAGCAGCCAATTTTTAAACCAACTGAGTTATCAAAATAAGAGTTTAGGAAGAACATCATTGAACTATATGCTTTTTAAATGGCAATATGCAAATAAAGCTTGTGCTTCCAGGTGGAAAATACATTTTGCTGGCAACCAGACTGAGGCAGATCTTCCTGTTTCTACCACCATGATGGACTTGTTGCTTACTGAAGTGAGTACTGTCTTTGCATTCATCAGTCTTGCCTCTGAATGTGAATGTGGTAGGCATTTACTGATTCTCTAAAATAGAAATTATGGGTTACAGTCTCAACTGGTTATAAATCGGCCCTTCAATGAAATGAAGTGCTGCTTGAGCTGCACTATGAAGGTCAAGGTGAAAACACTCTCCCAATTTAGGAGCATCAAGAATCATGCCCTAGCTGAGATCCTTTTGTAGATTGTATAAATTTTAATACAGTTGTTCCTTGGCAGTTGCTAAGGTTGGTGGTACTTTGACTTCAGAGCTTCTCTTTCTCTCTCAAATTGGGCAAATTTTTAAAAATTCATTTACTTTATTCTTCCTATCTACTTCTTTGGCATGAGAACCGTGTAGTAGTCAATCCTGCCCTGGCTCTTGAAAAGCAAAAGTGGATGCTACTCAGTGGGCACATCTACATGAGCATTCTACTGAGCATTAGTGCATCATGGCAAAAATGGTGCTAATGCACAGTAGAAATAGTGTACTGCATATTAAGTGTCACCAAAAAACATTTGCCTTTTTCTACTGCACAATAGCATGGGCTACTGTGCTTTTCTGTAGTACCTCACATTAGAGATACTAAAATGTAATGCACTGTAGCAAAGGTGCATTAATGAACATCTAGATGGACCCAGTATAGTATAGTTCATTTTGACATTTAGTACTCAGTGGGATCCAGTATCTCTCAGCAAACCCAGTATTTTAAGGTTGAGGACAACAGGGAAACAATAGGGGGGGGTCTCAGTCCCAAGGATCCACCAGTGATCCTGCCTCAGATGAATGCCAGATGAGGATATGAACAAACGCTTGATTCCATTTGATGACTATTGTGGCCAACAGCACTTTCTGTTCTACTCTGTATCATAGAAGTAGGGTCGGAAGGGACCTTGTAGATCTTCAAGTCTGACCCCCTGCCTGGGGAGGAGGAAAACTGGGCTCAAATGACCCCAGCCAGGTAGGCATCAAGCTTCTTCTTAAAGACCCCCAGGGTAGGATCCAGCACCACTTCCCTTGGAAGCTGGTTCCAGATGCTCTTTTTTTTTTTAACCTGATATGAATTAGAAATTTGCATTACTGAGATCAGGGTTTAGAAACAAAAGCTTTGGAGATTTGCATCTGACCTTCTTGCTGAAATGCAGTGCAACTTCTTTTAGAAGAAGTGAAATCAATCTAATTTGGGCTAACAGCAATAGAACAGTCTTTTTCTGAGATGAATGTGTGGTGGACTTACCTGCTTGAGAACTGTCAATTCCCTGATTTGGTGGATGGTCTCC